ACATCGGCCGTTGAAATATCACATGACATGCACCTAAACTTTATTAACAGTGCTTTTCTCTAAAAGTTGGTTCTTGTTTGAAACGTTTCATAAAATAATAGAATAAATCTCCATGTAGTGTATATTACAACTCTTGAGACAATCTGAATTGAAAGGCAAATTGAACTATAGTGCTAATGTGTCTCATTGGCAACCCTTTGAAAGTAAATCGTTCCAAAGGCGTGAACAACTCAACCCTTGTATTGTTGACCTTGAGCAAGCTCGAGTGCTCCACCTTTTTGAGACTACAGGTTATTTAATTGCCACTTACTGTGTCAATGGTTGGACCCAGACTGACACTTATTTGGCCAATGTGGACCACTACAGCTGCTACCCCTAAGTCTGGACCTGGCCTAGACCTTGTGCAACTGGAGTGTTAACCTTTTTTGCCATTGCATAGCCTACTGTGTAGTCTAAAGTGTCTACTTTGTTAGGCCCAGACTGACAATTATTATTTGATTCATGAACTACTCGAGTTCTTGCCGGTTATTGCTACCCCCCCCCCCCCCCCCCCCCCGCAAATAACTAGAGCCTTATTGAGTGAACTTGAGCACTATAAATTTTTGAGACTTTGCAGTCTGTTAAATGACAGTTTGTAAGACCCGGATTGAAAATTATTTGGTCAGTGACCAGTGTGAACTACTAAAGGTGTTACTCTAGTGTTACTAGCCCTTCTAGACCCAAAACAACACCTTCAATGAACCAGAGTGTTATTCCGAGCCTATCTTGAGAATGTATAATCGATTAAATTACCAATATGCTAGTCCGATCGACAGTTATTTCGTCCGTGTGAGACTACCGTAAAACTGCGCCTTCTACCAGACTCTGCTTCAGTGATTGGTCTCTGTTACACTAGTTTTGTGACTCAGAAGCTTCAGCGAGTGATCAGGGTAGTAATTGTTTACCCATATGTGGGTCGTGCGTCCGATCCGTATCAATGGAAGGCAGCCTGTATCCAATTGAGCTTTGTCGCTCACCCCTTGTTTACATTTTGTTGCTTTCCATTAGAGATTATTTTATTCTGTCTTGGTAGTTTGTTCTCGTAACCCATAAAACTATGGCTCTTGCGTTTGGTAAAATCATTCAGGTTTTTGAATTTTGATCGTGTAATATATGATTTTTGTCTATTCGCAAATAGGGAACTCTTATTCTAAGGATCTAAACACAATCTTAATGAAAATTTTAACAAATGCGAAAACAGTACCTACTGTAAATTGTTCTTATGGTGTCATAGAACTACGCATCGACTCTTCGGTCTCTACGCAAACGCCGCAGATGACTCCGTTTCCCAGCCAGTGAGCGTAACAGGGAAACGCAGTTGTTCCTTGTGTTAAGTCCACGGTTGACTTCCTCCCACCTCAGTAGAGCGTGGCGCTGGGACCCCTGGCCTCCTTACTGCTATCATCCCATAATCCTTCCTGTCACCTTCCACTTCAGCTGCCTTGGAGACAAACTCTAGTGTCTTTGGCAGTTCTTCAGATAGGCCCTCGCTACCTTCATCTTCCATGCGAATTCTGGACTCCTCATATGGCAAATTTCACGGAGAGTATTCTTGACAGCCCTTCAATCTATATTACCTACTCACTCCTTTGCTACTTTGGAGAACTTCGAGGTCCCTTGGCTTGTGTCTGTGTAGCTTACACTCATTTTCATTACTTACCTCAATAGTGTCGAAGACAAATCGTTCTCTCTTTGCCATTGTTAATCGGCGACTTGTTAATCTCTACCAAATTAATCGTAGTAATCTTTTACCGAAACATAAAAAATGATCAATTACTAAATTTTGGAAAAGGAAACCCGTGTTATTTATGATCAATTACAAAAATATTGAGTGGTATTATTGTGGTCTGCTGCTTATAACTCGATCCTACATTTCTAAGCGATCAAAATCATTATTGTTTGTAATGCAACGGCACCGATGCAAATTTAAAGTAGACAATATTGTTGCAATGATGGATTTTCTTTGTTTACTACCAAACAATGATTATATTCTTTGAAATCTTTCATCCAAACAGAATGAATGGTTAAGGCTAAAGTTCCGTTTGTTGTTTGTGTCCACTAAGTACTTGGCGCCAGCGCGAGCGTTGGAAATTCACAGTTTGACGAATTGTGAGACGGTAACCTACGACTACGACCACTTCATTGACATTTTTAGGTAATTAATATTTCGGGCTCAATTTAGACATATGTAGAAACCGATACTGTCTTTATTGATGGATGAAGTGAACCCTGTTTAATTGTTTTTCCAGTTGTTATTTCGGATATCCCATTAGATTCCCTTTGAAAAATCTCGGAAATGAGATAACTCTTACACAAATACGTGTGATATCTATTTAATTTGTTTTCTTAAATACTTAATATCTATTTACCCAGTTCACTTTACGATACTAAACCTGTATAATCAATTCACTTTGACCATGTCGTAAAACATGCGTATGAAACACATAAAGTTGAAATGAAACAAACGAATTGTGACAAATGGAACCCTAGGTTGTGAAACAAACGTTGACAAAGGGTCGGCACCACATTATGCAGGAGGGTAATTATTCCAGGCGCTACAATCGCAAAAACTAAATAACTGCTCAGCTGATTTGAATATGATAAGTAATGAACGGTCACGTTGAAAAAGGTTTTGGGGTGTTTTTTGTTTGGTTTTGGAATCATTCCTTGTTCTTTAGTTTTTGTAGCGTATTGTCATTGCGTATATAAAACTTCAAATATTTCTTGAATGTTTATAAGGTTTGCATTATTCTCTTGAACAAAGCATAACATTTTGATTTAAGACGCTTAAATTATTTGATTATACGAAATAAAAAATGACCTTGGTGGTTGTATGAACACTTATAAAACTTGCTTCATTTACCTAAATCATAATTTTTGAATTCTGTTATAACAGAATTATTTTTTTTTGCAGTGCGGTTGCTGACACGAGTTTTTGAGAAAATGCAAATCCTTTTCCTTTTTTAATCGTTAAATTCAACTATTTTACACGGTTGGTATATAAATTAAACAAGGCATTTAAAGAAAGACGATATTTAAAAACGTATGCCTATATTTAAAGGTACTGTACAATTTAATAAGCTGTGTAGTTTACTGTAAGTTAGGTCTACTTCAAGGATCGTAAACAAGTATTTCAATATATAAGTAAATTTATATCCCAATATACTATGTATTTGTTGATACAAACTTTCTAAGCTGATTAAAATTTTTAATGAAACGTACAAACTGTTTACTCACATTGCAACACGTTTTATTTTGCTTTCGCTTTTATTTATTTTTGAGTTGCAAATTCGTCAGGAAACCCACGGGGTTGAAATCCGTTGGTAACTCCTGACTCCTCTAAATGTAAATTGAGTCAGGTTACAATTATTTCATTTTATACGTATATATTTTTGGAATGGGAAATTAATATGGATAGTTTTGGAAAAGATTAACTTAAAATGATGGTGAAAACCTAACCTAACTCTAACCCAACTTGATTTGTATTGGAACTGCTAACGGATTCTGACCAGGGTTCGGTCTAAATATAGCAGAGTGAGTAGCCCAGACGAGAATGAATGGGAAGAGCAGTAGAGCAGCAGACGGCCTTGAGAGATGACCGTGCGAACGTCGGCTGTGGTGAGTCATCCGCAATTGTCGAATGTGGCATTTCCTCCAAACCTCGTCTGATTGAGACAGATGTGGCCTTAACCCGAGATCATGATATGATGGATCCACGGTTCCCAGTCACTCCAACACTCGCCGTGGCAATCAATAGATAATGTCAAACATACTTTGCTAGGCCACGGACCACCAAGTCGACAGTAAACCACTTGTTATGTAGTATTAGCTGCTTCAGAAATACAGAAAGTCCTTAGTTTTTAGGTTGAAACGATCAGGCTATACCAGTATAGAGTAGTTTTTAAGTACAAAAGTGCATTTGGTTTTGGAATCCTCAAGATCAGATGACTTTATCAAAGAGTTAATCAACGGACAAGATAAATATGACGTTTAGTTATATATCCCGTAGATTACGACTGATTGGCTCATTCTCGTATGATGTTAGTCTTGATTGACTGGTCCTGTTGTATCACTGCTGACATCATCTCGCTGCCACGGACATGCAGATCCGAGCAGAACGATAAGTGAGGAAGAGTGAGGGTGGTAATGTATGTGTGAAAGTGGTAATTAACATTGTGGATGTTTTGTCGGAGGCTAGTTTGCAGCTAATGCACGGTTGTCTAGGATAGATTGATGCCGAGCCGGGTGGGAAGCGGCTATTGGACTATTAGTTCCACCCCCACCCACTTTGGCGCAACCCCGTCCGTCTCTTTTGAAATGACTTACCTATTCATTTCCTGTTCGACAACACGAACCCTTCGAACTAACATTAGTTTTTGCACCCCGATTGCATCATATCTCGGATCTAGGAGATGCTGAAAGGGTTTCGAAATTCGTCATTAGCGCCTTAGGCAAATAGTTTGGGGTAGTGAGAGCGAGTCAAGAGGGCCGCAAGTTCTTTATCTGACAATTACCACGAGTGGCCGAGTCTAGGCCGCGGGGCCAGCTTATGGGGGAGGAACTTTTAAAATGTTCCCTTTCTATTCTAGTTCTTTTGATAGCTCGAGTGAAGCAATGTAGTTCACATGGCTATAACATTAGGTTAATGTGATTTTGATTACTCGTACAAACCCCTTGGTGGGAAGTTCAGGGTCAGACTATTTGAGTTGCTGAATCCACCATGTAGGTCTATTACCTCTTGTGTTTCGAAATTCATATTTTAAATAGAACATTAAGACACCAGTTTCCAAGCCAATGTTAAATTGTTCAAATTTGTAGAAAATTGTCTCAAATTCTTTACCTTCTATAATCCTCGTTTCATTCCTGTAATTCCAAGAGTCCATATTCTCACTAATCCCAAATTCTCAACATCTGACATTGCACACGTCACAACACTAACCGTGGGTTCTCTTGTCTTGCAGCAATTCGAGGTGGTGCTCCTCGCCCATCTCCGTTGGGACCTCTCGGCAGTCACTGGGTACGACCTCGTGGACCACGTCATGGAGAGGATCACGTGGTCCAGAGACCAATACCCGTTGGTGCGACGTCACGCCAAGACTCTGGTGGACCTCTGCTATCTAGGTGAGTAAAGAAATAGGTTAAAACTTTAAAACGTTCCTTTTGGTCTGGGCAGTTTCCGACAATCCGGTGAGGGGTCGAGCATGCGACATCTGAGAAGGGTTTCCTCAGCAATGATCGACAGTCGCCGGTTCTTACTCAAAGTTTGCTTAAATGTTTCTACGTAAAGAAACTGCAAACACACCATGTATGTATTTATATACACATTTACAACACGCCCAAGTACCCATGTAGTTTCGTGGGAAATATTTTTTTTAAATAGGCTAAAGAGAAGTTTCGAGAAATCTAGTAGAGGAGCCCTCTTTAGCTGTGCAAACTAAGTAATAAGTATTTTTTTACATAATGAAAAGCTTAAGATTAACACGATTAGATTTAATGCAAAGATAAAGTAAAACCATCAAGTATTTTTATCGCACTATAGTTATGTAACTGAGGACGAGAAAACGACTCGGACTTATTTTATTTGGTCAATAATGAAATGCTTGTTAATTACCCCAAGCTAATTTTGTGAACTTGCAAAATAAAATAACCTTTATCAGTTGGATAGTTACAGTAATAACAAACGACCTTTACCTTTTCTTTTGCACCATATAAAACCCATTAACTATCCTTCCGCTACTTCCCCAAGTAAAACCATTATCTATTCCTTCCTATCGCATAACAATTAGACATACGCTTTCTTCGCTAGTGCCTGAAGGGTTAGAGCACTTGTACCTTGTACCTTGTACCACATTAAAGTCCATACACCATACTCTCCACCTGTCTTGACCTTGGGTCCTTCTGCGGGTGAACGTCCCTGGACATGCGGGAACTTCCTTCTACTTTGACATCTGCTGCTGAAGTATGAGGGCTGCGGTCAAAGCCTCTGGACAACCTGTACGCGTAAAGGAAAACTTCTTTTGACTCTGCGAAGTCATCGACTCATACGGGTCGTGAATTATTTATTAGGGCAAAACCACTTTGTTTGTTTATAATCTGCTCGCAATTTGCGTAGGATAAAATCTGTTGTGCAAATATGTAATTTTTCCTAAGGGAATAGTTAAAGCTTCAAATTAATGTATACTTATCGCCAAAAAGGTTTGACGATGTGGATTATACGTTGAGATTGAATTTGTTAAATGAAATATTGAACAGTTTTAACAATATAATCCTGTCGATTTGCCAAATTCTGTCAATTTTGATTTTGGCATATTCTGGCTAGCAAAATTCTAAATTTACGATGCGTTTACAAACAGTTCTCTCGCTCACTTTGTACCTCGCTGAATTTTATCCTTCGTTCCCTCAATGAAGATTGTTGGTTTCCCTGACGTGGCAAAGGGCTTAAATGGGGATACCTCCCTACACTACAGGAGTTTACCTGTACGCCAAGCTTGGACTCATATTTTTACAACAATCTCTACTACATCAAATCACATCAGTTTCTCAATTTTGGGGACTGAGTGATGAATTGGCTGATACGATGGCATAAAATCTTTGTTATTAATATTTTAAATCAAATGGAAAACACTTATTTGTTGTCAATATTTATTACACAAACTACATCAGTTATTGATTTTTCGATCTTTTGGATGAACTTGGCTGACGTAATGTCATATTGACTTTTTTTCGATGCCAATAATGGGTTCAATTAAGATCCCTGTCCAAGGTCAGAGTCACGGTCCGATGTTCTGTTGTGTTCGCCCCAACTAGAGTACAGCTGCCTAGGCCCAGCTGCCGCGCGCACAAGTAGCGGGATTCTCAATATTCTCATTGATAAGAAAGTATGTAATGTACCAAACAAAATACAAGTATTTTATGTTATAAGTACGAAATCAATATTGTTTTATTGATACGAATTTGTAATAGCCCCGCAGCCCACATACGTGGTCCATGATGAGACACTGTACTCTTGTAGGTACTTAGAGAAAATCTCCTAAAATCAAGAATTTAGATACTATTCTGACTTTTATTAGTTTGCGAATGATTCAATCTGAGTGTTTGTTACGTTCTATAGTGTGGACATTACGAGACTTGAGCGTTAATAGATTCCTTACTTTAGCCTTTACAACGATTTTCTTAGTAACGTTTTGGACGTAGTGGGACATTGATGGTCTTTTCTGTGCGAGCCGTTGTCATTCTACAAAGTCCAAATTCTTAAATCATATCAAATGCACGTATGTGTGGAAACCATTACATATTCTACCAAAGTAATTTTTAGTCACAATTGCCACAAAGCTATTGAGTTACAACATCTGTCCACATTGCGATATGAGGGGGTGCGCGCACATGCTCAGTTATTCTAATTATCAAGGGTGACGCGTGCTGTCAAATCTGTCTATTACGGGGGAGTGTAGTCATTTCACGCGCCATAACGCACATCAGCTGATCATGCGCGGTTATTGCGCAGGCGCCTGGCTCGCGAAAATTGAAATTGAGTGCTAGGCTAGTTGTATATATAGACTTTTGTCCTGAAGCTGAATGAGCTAATAATGGTTTTAATTTTATGTATTTATAGATTTTACTATTTTTCAACACTATTCCTACAAAGTGAATTTGCCCTGGATAACAAATGTTTGTATACCAACCTAACATAAACATTTAGTTTGTTTTTATACAACAGATTCCAGTAATCTGTCCTTGTAAATAAAAAAGTATACTTGAAATACGGGAGAAAGAATCAGTAGATAATTAACAAATACGATCTGGAATAAAAGTCAAATCGATGATACAGTCATTCCCAAGATTACTATAGTTTTTCAAAACTTTGTAGAACTGGCATTGAAAAGTTGATTAATACCCTTGCTTACTTCATTGAGTGCGAAAGGGGTTGCGGTTTTATGCTGTCGTGCACAAGTACCAAAGACTTCTCGGTCGCAATCGTCAAGTAATTACAGAATAGCAGCAGCCAGGCGAGCTTAGCTCTCGAAGGTTAGTCCTTCAGTAAACAATTGTGGGGGGGGGGGGGGTTGGCGGTGCCCGGCCCCTAGAAAACATTGTTATACTATGGCGAAACCAGCAACCTCCCCTCGCATTGCTATTGTATACGGAATGAAAAATCTTCCCTTCTAAAACACCCCAAAAAACATTGTATCCCCCTAGACGCTAAGCTGAATAAACATGATCTCTACCCCCCAGGTAAAAACTCAAAAACTCCGGCAAAGTGTACAAAGCGTGAGCGGCGAGAAATACTTGTTGGACTAGATTGGTGAAAAGTCACAATATTGTGATTGGCTTGAGCCTCAAAACTGCTTCTGATTCTGCAATCGTGTAACCAATATCTTGGAAAAATTCACACTGTCATAATATATGTTTTAGTTTTCACAAATAGCTGGGTTTACGTGTTTCACAAGTTCTACAACACTATTTCGTATGATCGATGATAAAATGTCAAACATTCTATTTTGCGTACTAAGTGTTGTTCTTGAATACAATTTAATGTTTTTTAGTTAGTGTATGTCTTAGTCAACAGTTGCAAGTCTGTGAGGTATTCACTATTTTTAGACAAAGACCCTAAAGCTCTATGGAACATCCTAGAAAGAAATTAACATATTAAAGATTGTAAATTGTTAGTCGTTGTACCATCCAAACCAAAGATGAATATTCGAGAATATCTCGTTATTAAGTATTTGGTAATTAAATTATCTTAACGAATCAGCTGATTCCACTCAGTGGCAGCAATCTAACTCTTCTTTACCTTTACCTATGCCACTTTTCGCCTCACATTCGTGCCTTCCACTTAGCAGCCCGGTGTGTCGGCTTGGAAGAGAGTATTACAAATTAAATGATCATTCAAGATTACAGATCAGCCAATAGAAGCTACAGATATTCATGAAACCTGTATCATTATCTACCGCTCTGTCAAACTAGTCAGGATGGTCGAAACTAAACATTATCACCTCCTTAACCTTTCCAATTAAGTCGGCGGGTTTGAGTAAAAATGGAAGTTTGTTTACAAATAAGAAAAGCCATAATTCTGATCTCCATTTAGATACTGAGTCTGGGTGCAGACCCCAGCTTCCGGCTTCTAAGTAGAAAGAATTGACCAATTAAGGCGGAAAACTAACAGGAAAGATGAACCCCCAAGAGATGTTCGACTTCCTCCCTCCGATGATTCGACCAATTAGTTGAGAGATAGGATAGGAACCAACCCTCTGCGTATCGCGGCAGCTGAGGGATGATCCTAGATACGCGAGTGTCATTACTTAAGATATTCATCCGAAAATTATGTATCAAGTCGCATGATGGAGCCTCTAATTGGAAATTTGTCTTGGACGATGTAATCACGCCTAATTCGGTAATTGATTGATTCCATTAGTGATCAACAGAGCGATTTTCTGTTTTTTACTGATTTAGAGGTTGGTCTTCACCAAAGAAATAGTATTATATAATTTCTGGTATATAATTAAGTCATTAACCTCTGTGTACAATTCCAACTCCAGTTACTTGCTATATTTTCGCCAGTTCAACGACGCGTCTCTTCCCCAAGTAGTCCAAGAGTTGATAGAAGTTTATTCGTTCACCTGAAACAAATGCGCAGGCACACATAAACCGCAGTATCCTTATAATAAAGAATATATATTTTAAACAGATATTGTATTATGTACAATTGCCACATTAGAACCCGAGCCCTACTTCCACCCCGCGACAGAATGACAACGGAACCAGCTGCCCCTGTGCCCTTGTTTTACGGTCTCATTGTACCCTAATTGTTGCATGACTCGAATCATTTTTGACAAGGAAGTCATAAACTAAATTACCACTTGCTACCGGTTGCTTTTTCATTTTTAATGTTTTTAGTTTTACATGCTGATATGCTTTTCTTGTCTAATTCTCTTGGCTGTTTTTGATGCTACCTTTTACTTTTTATGCTCGAGCGGAGTAAAAAACAACTGTTACTGCGTTGCTATTGTTGCAACGTTTCCTTGCTATATTCTAACTAAGTTATTACTAATTTATTTAAATGATATCTGTTGGGTTATACGAATACTTTTTAACATGGCTATTAGAAAAAATCTTTCTTTTCA